TCTGGGCCTCATGTTGAAAATAATAACCTTATTATTTAGTACATATAAACGTAGGAGATCTTATATTGTTATTCGTGTTGAAAGAATACAAATATGATAAAATTCTAGGATTAATATTATAAAGAATTAAAAGTCTTGGGCGAGTTTATGAAAACTCGTTAAGTTTTAGTTTCCTTATTCTTTCAATTGATCGTATATAAAATAATCTCTAATCTCTCTAATTTAATTAGGCGTGCATTTGGCTAAAGTTTCGGTTTGTAGAAACTCATCTAACTTGTTTTAAAGCTCATCATATAAGACTATATAATTACAAAATTTTGATTTGCGGTAAATAAGCCTATCTAACTTAAAATGAGTTTCGAGAAAAGCGATAAAACGAAACCCCCATCGCTCGCTAAGCTTTCACTATGTGACAACAAACCCGTCTTAAATCCCGATTAGGAAAGTCGTGAGAAAACTGCAACGCGTCCTTTCTGACGCGCGTTTCAACGGCAATGGAAAACACATCGACGCATATTATCATGATCGTATCTATGTAGCTGCGAAAACATGCAAACGTTTGCACGCGGATTCTTTCTGTATTGTCCCCACGTCGAGATACATTTCCTCCGAATCGTGCTCGTGCTTGTTTTTTCTTCCTATTTTCGCGACCGCGACCAGAGAAGCGCTTGATCCCTTCAGCGAGCGCGACACAATGAAATTGGATTAAAGTTGTGCCCTTGGTAGTCTTCTCATTCTCTCTCCTCGCAGCGACGCGACAGCCGAGAGCGAGAGAGGAGTTTTAACGATCTACCGCCGTACAAATTGTCGAGATGCTATCATCTCTCAGCGGGAAGAGAGAACGGGAGTAGGAGATGTAGATAGAGAGAGAGAGAGAGAAAGAGAAAGAGAGAAGCAGAGAAAGGGAGAAGGAGGAAGGGCAGAGAGCGCAGAGAGGGGCAGGCAGGGAGAGAGGAGAAGATGCGAGGGAAGATTAGGGCGGCATCTCCCCATGGCGAGGTCGGTAACAGAAACTGTTGTTGGTGATGTTCCTGATGCCGCGCTGCAGTTGCTGCCGCCGCATTTCGCTGCACTACCTCTCCTCTCGGCTGCCCTCGTATCTGACACGATTCGTACGTTGAGGATTCTCAACAGTAAATTACAAAATATGCTAAGCGGCCGATATAAATCAAAAGTGGGGCCCGCGCGCGTCCGTAGATCCCCGAGGGGTGAGAGAGTCCTTTACCCGTTGTCTCCGTCTCCTGGATTCTACGGCGCAAGGGGTAAGGGATTCCTCCGCGTTCTCCATGGCCAACCAGGCCCAAAATATAAGGAGAGAGAGACCCCCATCACGAATCGGGAACGAGGGAGAAATTCTTTCTCTCCTTCTCGTGCAGTGCGTAGAATGCTGGCGCGGTGGGTTCAGTTTGCAAACCGAGCAAATGGACCGGAAGACTCGAACGCGAGATATAAATAGGCCCGACTGGAGAGCAATATATCTACCCAACTAAACTCCGCTAAATTGCTTCGGCGTAATGCAAAAGAGAGCGATATAGAATCGCGAGCAGGGAGAGAGAGAGAGAGAGAGAGAAAACGAAAAGCTCCATTTATCGATGGCACGCTGCGCACTCATTTAAGCGCAAAAGATTTATGGAATATCGATAAATCGATAAAGAATTGTGATTACTGTTCCTTCGAACTATAAGTATAATCTACGTAAATGGGCTGTGCATGAAAAAGGCCGTCTCACTTTGTGCCTCGTCTTCTTGTGGAATTAACGATTTAATAATTTGCTTTGGCATACATCACGTTAAAAAAAATATCTAATTTACTCTTTTCGCTTTATTCAGCGTGGATTTTATTTATTCCACATTATGTGTTAAACGAAAATAACATACGCCTATTGCATCAGTGTTGAAATGATGCATATTCCTTTCTACATTTGTTTCGCTATTAAGATAACGAAAATATACATCCGCGCTTGGTAGAATACGAATTATCTAATTAACGCGTCAAACGTCTCTTCGTGCCGACTGATTTTACACGCGATTGTCCCGCGTAATCAGCCCCCGGTAACGAATTACGCTCACCGCGAGCACTCAATTACGCGGTCGAGACTATTAATCGAGATACGGCGAAACACGAATAGCTAATAACGCGCGCCCGACGAGCCCCGCGCCGAGAGTGTTCGCTACATCGGGACACGGGGCTCTATCTGCGGATCTACGCTAATCGAGTCCTCTGGATGCACCCGCGGTACAGGCTAGTCGTCACGCACACGCACGTGTTTATGGATGAGCCACGTACGAGCGGCCACGTGCACGCGCGCTTCTAAATTAAGTGCATCGAGTGAAGAAGAGCCGCGCGCGAGTGCATAAAATTACGTGCGTTACATGCGAGAACGCTGCGAGAGATACTTTTACAAGAATCTTGCCAAGGCTACCAATTTTCAAAGGCTCCGCGAATATAATAATATAAAATTCTCTTCATTTATTTCTTCTTTATATAAATTATTTTTTATATGTATATAGTTGTGTAATAATTTTCTAGTCATAATATAAGAAAGTTATAAGCACAAAGCTGGAATGCAGAGAGGTAATCACAATGCTTGAAAAAATTTGACAAATTGACGAATAATTCTGCGATAATGCAGAATCATTTTAGGAATTTACTATTTTGTAGTTATGTTTTATTGCAAAAGATTAAATTCTTTTTAAACTTAAATTATATACTACGAGCGTTGCAATTATTCTCTGCTACCAATGATTTGAAGTATCTGTATGTTTAAAAAATAAATATCGTTTTTTAAATCTTCAAGCTATATTTCAGCGAATTAATTTTGTCCGGAAAAGTCAATTTGTTCAGTCAATCTCGATGCGAATCTCGTGAACGTGAATATTCTTGAATTATTTAAATGCGCGAGAGAGGCGAGCGAAATCTTCCTGCATTTGTAAGAGCATGATTATATTCCGTGGATAGAGCCGTAGAAAATCGCGATTCTTTCCCTTGCCTCGCGTATGATTACGAAGCTTACACGCGCGGATGAGAATCTAAAATAGCGAGATAAAGCGAAGCATACGCGAAGTTCCGAAGCGATGAAGACTGTATTGCGTAAAGCGTGCATAATAACAGCCGTTGTCTTCAGCTCATTTTTATCCAAGATTAATTCGCGAGCAGGGAGAGAGAGAGAGAGAGAGAGAAAACGAAAAGCTCCATTTATCGATGGCACGCTGCGCACTCATTTAAGCGCAAAAGATTTATGGAATATCGATAAACTCCTAAAGAATTGTGATTACTGTTCCTTCGAACTATAAGTATAATCTACGTAAATGGGCTGTGCATGAAAAAGGCCGTCTCACTTTGTGCCTCGTCTTCTTGTGGAATTAACGATTTAATAATTTGCTTTGGCATACATCACGTTAAAAAAAATATCTAATTTACTCTTTTCGCTTTATTCAGCGTGGATTTTATTTATTCCACATTATGTGTTAAACGAAAATAACATACGCCTATTGCATCAGTGTTGAAATGATGCATATTCCTTTCTACATTTGTTTCGCTATTAAGATAACGAAAATATACATCCGCGCTTGGTAGAATACGAATTATCTAATTAACGCGTCAAACGTCTCTTCGTGCCGACTGATTTTACACGCGATTGTCCCGCGTAATCAGCCCCCGGTAACGAATTACGCTCACCGCGAGCACTCAATTACGCGGTCGAGACTATTAATCGAGATACGGCGAAACACGAATAGCTAATAACGCGCGCCCGACGAGCCCCGCGCCGAGAGTGTTCGCTACATCGGGACACGGGGCTCTATCTGCGGATCTACGCTAATCGAGTCCTCTGGATGCACCCGCGGTACAGGCTAGTCGTCACGCACACGCACGTGTTTATGGATGAGCCACGTACGAGCGGCCACGTGCACGCGCGCTTCTAAATTAAGTGCATCGAGTGAAGAAGAGCCGCGCGCGAGTGCATAAAATTACGTGCGTTACATGCGAGAACGCTGCGAGAGATACTTTTACAAGAATCTTGCCAAGGCTACCAATTTTCAAAGGCTCCGCGAATATAATAATATAAAATTCTCTTCATTTATTTCTTCTTTATATAAATTATTTTTTATATGTATATAGTTGTGTAATAATTTTCTAGTCATAATATAAGAAAGTTATAAGCACAAAGCTGGAATGCAGAGAGGTAATCACAATGCTTGAAAAAATTTGACAAATTGACGAATAATTCTGCGATAATGCAGAATCATTTTAGGAATTTACTATTTTGTAGTTATGTTTTATTGCAAAAGATTAAATTCTTTTTAAACTTAAATTATATACTACGAGCGTTGCAATTATTCTCTGCTACCAATGATTTGAAGTATCTGTATGTTTAAAAAATAAATATCGTTTTTTAAATCTTCAAGCTATATTTCAGCGAATTAATTTTGTCCGGAAAAGTCAATTTGTTCAGTCAATCTCGATGCGAATCTCGTGAACGTGAATATTCTTGAATTATTTAAATGCGCGAGAGAGGCGAGCGAAATCTTCCTGCATTTGTAAGAGCATGATTATATTCCGTGGATAGAGCCGTAGAAAATCGCGATTCTTTCCCTTGCCTCGCGTATGATTACGAAGCTTACACGCGCGGATGAGAATCTAAAATAGCGAGATAAAGCGAAGCATACGCGAAGTTCCGAAGCGATGAAGACTGTATTGCGTAAAGCGTGCATAATAACAGCCGTTGTCTTCAGCTCATTTTTATCCAAGATTAATTCGCATTTTCAAGCTTTGCTTAAACGCGTTTGATGAGAAATAAAAAAGATTTTCCCATCTTCACGAAAAATTAAAAAAGAGAGACTTAAAAGTAATAATAATCTAAACTATATATAACGAGAGAAACGAAGACACAACATTCCAATATTATTGAGATCCAAGATTGTCTCTCGGAACTCTTTCCGGCTTACGGATCGGTCACGGATCATACTAAATTTCGTAAAATATATAAAGTCAATACTCACGTGGACCAGAGCTCGTGCGTGGGCGGCAACTTGACATCCGCGGCCGTTTTCTCGGGCAGTTTGTAATACTCGTAGACATAGGACGCGCCAGGATCGTCGCCATGGCTGGTTACCGCCGACACCTGATGCTGCTGCTGGAGATTTAGCATAGCAGCGGTCGCCACTGAGAGCGGATGCTCGCAGTAGGCGCGCCAGTCGCCCTCCATACCCTGTACCTGCACCTGCACCGCGACTCTTTTGTGGACTTCCGGATCGGCGTCTTCGGCACCGCTCTGCAGGGACTGTGCCGCTGCCTCCTCCGCTCCCAGTTCCTCTTCTTCTTCCGGTTCACGCTGTCCGGATACGTAGTCCTGCTGCTGCTGTGCGTCGTCGCTGACGACGGTACCGTTTGTATCCTCCTCGCTGCGACTGCGTCGTCTGTAATCGAACGAGTCTGTTTAATTGTCGAAAGCATAAATGTTCGGTTTCGGACAATTTTGCGGATATTCTTGATTGAGATAATATTTAAGTAAATATATATATTATCTCATTCACAAGTATATCGATAAATAATGCTATTGCATGTAAAATATAATTAGCTGACATTTGAACGTAGGAGAATATAATTATAAATTCCTTTTTCGTAAAAATATTGTTTTAAAAATCTCGATTTCAGTGTCGTCTGATGGCAATGTTTTGTAGATCCATCGGGAAAGCAAAGCATATTGCTCTCTGCGATCGACAATACTCATCGAGGAGCCAATTCCTGTTGCTGGCGACGACCATAAGTGACACAACGCGAAAAAACTAAAAAGAAAAAAATACTTTTTCCCGAGGTAAAGACTGCGATAATGAATGCGCCGCCAGAATAACAGTTAGAAATAACCGAGCTCGGTAGAATGTAATAAATTACAACGAACCCATCGAATTTATCAATTAGCGATAATCGCGATGCATAAGCCTCGCTGATGATTCCTCAATTTAGCAATGACCACCAGCGGTGGAAGCGCGTCGTGTGCGACGCATGGTTGTGCTGGTAATTTATTGCCTACATCGTGATACCTAATCGCGCTATGCGAACTCGAGAGAGAGAGAGAGAGAGAGAGTACATACGAGCTTTCGACTCCGTACTTAGCCACCTGGATATTTGTCACCGGTCGTTACTTTCCGAAGTAATACCTTCCGGCTGCGTGCCCGAAACGATGAGATTTATGGGAATGCGCGCGAGACGGGAACGACTTTGCAAAAAAGAGATATCCGATGATGCGATGCAACGCGTTTCTGAGAATATTTT